GTTATATCATCCAACATGGTGGTCATGTCTTTTGTTATATCATCCAACATGGTGGCCATGTATTTTGTTATATCATCCAACATGTTGGTCATGTCTTTTGTTATATCATCCAACATGGTGGCCATGTATTTTGTTATATCATCCAACATGGTGGCCATGTATTTTGTTACATCATCCAACATGGTGGCCATGTCTTTTATTATATCATCCAACATGGCGGTCACTCATTCACTCAATGTACACCAACTAATAAAGACACACTGCAAAAAAGTCAGTCGTATGTATCCTTCTATACAATTGAAAAATGTTCATTGGTTTCATTGAAAACATAAATTTATTTATTTCACTATGGATATTACAGGTTTAGAATATCGCTGGTTTCCAGAAACTATATCAATGTAACGGTTTCCAGTTTGAGTACAGTTTGAGTATAGTTTCGACCACCGCTTTGACAGCCACGATTCCCAACTAGCCCCACGCACGCATGGCTCTGTTCTTAAGTACGCTGCACCCTTTTCCTTGGGATGGGCACGAGCCTAAATCCCCCATTACTTTTATAACTCCCGAGAGCCCTGTTACACATATATAGAAATTGGCGTTAGACTGAGGCATTTGTTTCGCATGACAAACGGCATATTATTTCCTTTGTCTGGGTATTTACATTTATACGTGACTCTGTCACGCAATGGGTTTTCAAAAAGTCAACTTCTAAAATGGCAAAGATGTCTCGATCCATGTTACTTTTTATCATTATCATCGCTAGCTGCACAGTTGTTCACACGTCTAGAATTCTACTGATGCCTTTGTATGGAAACAGCGATTATTTTATTTTCAAGAAGATTGCAACGGAGCTATCAAACAGAGGCCATGAGGTAGGGCTATAAGTTCCTTACACTCGAAATTATTCAGCCAAAATTAGCTTGCAAACTTGCTAAAAACCAGGATTAATTAAAGATATATGAGATTTAAGTGTTCCAGATCCTTTATTTTGGTCTTTCTGCTCTCTCTCTGCGAGCATTTTTAGGTGCTTGGAGAATCGATAAAATTGGCTTCCAAAGCCAAACAATTGGCGTCTATTGTATTTTAAAGTAGTGACTAATTTTGGAGCGATTTTTTAGTTAAATTTTGCTACGTTAACATTGGGCCATCCATTCACAATATTAAGGAACAATAAAAGGCATGCATGCAAATGTACGAGTATACCCTGCGAGCAGAGTCTCCTTTTCACTCCTCTACGGGCAAGAGAAGGAAAGGAGACTGCAGAAATCGTGCATTTCTTTTGTAGTGCCGCTATCCAAGAATCTGGATAATGAGATGCATAATTTCGGGTTTCATACTGGTTTAAACTGGTTTTGATGCGCGAGTCTGTATTAAAAATATGGCCGATGACCAAAATTGAGCCCGCGTCGTATGTCAAAGTGTAGTTTCGAAAGCGTTCTAAATCACGTTTTATCAAATAAAAATCAATTCCAACCAACTACTCATCAAAGGAAATCGCTAGGAAGTTTTATGGATGTCAAAGACCCCTTCGTTTCGCTGCCGACAGGTCAAGGAAAGTCACTTATTTTCCAGCTTGTAACTTCCGATGATCAAATGTCTTCAAGAAATCGATCCAAACACTAGTCGATACTACCCTAAGAATTCTCTTTTGGTGGGAATAAATCCACTCCAGGCAATGATGAGCACCCAAATTTCCGCGTGTGAAAATTTAGTGTCTCCAAACTGCTAAGCTTGATGAAATTAAAGCAGTAAAAGAAGAACACTAGATCATCTTTTAATGAGGTCATGACTCTAAAAACATGTTTTGTTTTGAAGCGGCAATCATGTTCGAACCGGAACCGGAAACCATTTACAAAACGTGTGAGCTTATGAACAAGTTAGTTTCTTAGCAACCGCGCTGCGCATGCTCAAATAACATTATACACGATTTCTGCAGAATCTCCTTTCCTTCTCTCGCCCGTAGAGGAGTTAAAAGGAGACTCTGCTCGCAGGGTAGTACGAGTACTGAGTAAAGATATATTTTCTCATAAATTAATTTGATTTTAGGAATGGACTCGGAATGGACTTGGGAATTTGGGAATTAAGATTTACGCATTTTCGCTTTCTTATTTTATTTATTTATTTATTTTCTTCTTCTTCTTCTTTTTTTCACCTTTCGAGATCAAATTTTTGTAATAATCTTGGCGTAGAGTGCATTAAGCTTGAGGTATTTGCGTCATAACGACAACGACGAAAACAGCAACCACAGAAATTAACTACCACAGCAGCAGCAACCACCACAACCACACCACCAACATAAGCAACAACAGTAGCAGCAACATTAACAGCTACAACAAAAACAACGACATCAAGAACAACAAGAGCAATCGCTGCAACAATAACAGCAATTCAGTAACAGCTACAGCAGCAGAAACGGCAACAACACTAACAGCAGCATCATAAACAAAAACAATAACATCACCAACAACACAAGCAGCAGCCACACCAACAGTAAAAGTAAAAACAGCAGCAGCAGCAGCAAAAAAAAGGAGTTTACCATTTTAATTTTATTTTCATTCTTAATTATTTCAAATTTAATTTCCAGGTCAAATTGTTAACTGCTTCCAACTTGAAGCACTTCATAGGGACGTCCAACATCAGTCATCTGATCTACGAAGTCCATCAAAGTTTGGACGAAGTCGAGGACAAAGTTGAAAAAATCGACCAAGATCCAATTGCAAGCCSTGTGTTTGCTATTTTCCCGTTCGCAATGCTTTTGAAAATTCAGCAAAAGTTCTGTAGAGATTTTCTAGAAAACACCAAAATTCTTCAAGAAGTCAAGGAATTTCAAGCAGATCTTTTAATTTCTGACTTGCTGTTCATGTGCAATCCAATCCTACAAGAAATGTTGGATATTCCACGCGTTGATGTTTCACCTTACGGTATTATTCCCTTCTTCATGCAGTCACTGCAWATTCCTTGTCCTGTTTCGTACACACCACAGATGGGAACAGGTAAATATTGAGTTAATATTGCCTTAATTTAAACCTCTAATTGACCAACCTTGGGGAAAGGTCAAGTAGTTTAAGGTATGACATTATTTATTACAACATTCGTTCGTATCGCAGACAGCACGGATGAAATGTCCTTTTTCGAACGTGTACACAATATGGCTATGTACATTGTATCTGAGTTCCTCAGGGAATTCTTTCTCTATAAACCTTTTGGAGACTTGAAAAAGGAATTCAAGATTAGCCCCGAGCGGTCATTTAGTGAAGCATTACAGAATGGGGAGATGCTGTTGGTACAAGCAGACTTTGCTTTGGATATTCCCAGACCTCTTCCACCAGGTGAGTATGCTTTGTTCAAGGAAGCAAGGGTGGAGTGCAATGCTTAGGTGTCRTTTCTCGCTTCTGTACACCGGTAAGGTCTTGGAGGGCGCATTAGACATTTTCTTGTTTATATGTAAATCCAAAAACATAGAAAGAACTCTTATATTTTTAAGGAAGTAAGCTAGAGACTGCTATTCCCATGCGGCTGATAGATACTGATGTGTAGGGTGCACAACTGCATGGAGTATTGCATGGAGTATCAATGGGATATCGACGGTCTTTGGCCATGGAGACTCATTTCTGCAGCAAATTGAACTGAGATTATCTATTATATTGTCCTCTTTTTCCCCTCGAGGGATTTTTCGGGGAACTATGGCTTTCCTCCATCATTAAAAATCGTCATGATTAGCTGAGTTGTTTGGTGCCCTTTACGCGTTTACCACTTGTGCTGATAGGATGTGTAGGGTG